TGGGTCGTGGGTCATGTTACAAACTCAGTGCAAGCATAAAAGGTTGGGCCCATTTGACAAAAAATTGCAATTTTGGCCACTTTTGACTTTTGGCAACTTTGCAAAAAGGGTCAACTTTTCCAATGCACAACTCTCTCAATTTTGACCCTAGAGATGTGTTATTGGACTTTTTAGAAATCTTAAGATGTCCTCTAAGCAACCCTTTTTGTCTCATCTCAATTGAGTCTTCCATGTTCATGTATGAAGCTTTGTCAAAAAAGGTGTTTTTGTTGACTTTCCAAAATGACCTATAATGTCCAAATTTATATCTTATTGTGAGTGCATATTTTGAACCTGGGAGATGAATATGGATTGTAGGGAATTGCATCCTCTTCAAAATGAGCTTTGGATGGGTCATTTCTAATAAAGTATGAGAAAGTTATGCTTGGTCAAAGTTGAGTTGACCTTTCCTGCAAAACCCTAATTTAGCAACTTTTGGGTTTTGATGAATTGTTAGCAATCCTTGAGGAATCATGATCAAATCTTGATAAAATGATGAATAATACTTCAAAATGAGGATGTTGACCAAAAATCTTGAAGTTTGATTGTATGTGGGACACATTTGACTTTTGCCCTAGCATAGTCGATTTTCAGGCCTTTGAGCAATTGACTGAGCAAACTTCCTCTGCAAGGCTTGAAACTTGGCATGGATGATCTTGAGAACACATTAGTACAATGGTGAGCATTTTGGATCCTTTGGAATCAAGCACCTTGATGCAAACTGAAACCCTAATTTGAGGCAGACTGCCTTAGGAGAATGTTTGTCTGATCAACCCTTGGACTTCCTTGAACAATTTGAGGACCTCACTTGAAATGTATTGAAAAATATGGGAGGGAAAATTTTGGGGTACAACAGCTTCCCCTATTCAATCTTCTTAAACCTGAGGATGTAGATTGGCTTGTCTGCCTTTCTTAATCCGAAGGTGGAAGATGATTGAACACTAGAGTGCCCAGAAATTTGCACTCGCATGAAGTGGTATTGGCATTGCGATATCGAGAATGGGATTATAGATGCCATTTGGAGATCGATGTCGGAAGATGGGCTTAAAGATGCCATCCGAAGAAGTGTCGATCTCATAAGAGATTCCTTTGCGAGATCCCGCATACCTGCTGTTGAGGAGGACTTCGCTGGGGATGTTGGTCTCTGTCTTGAGAGAAATAGAGTTTTAGGAACTTCAGTTGTCCTTTACTCTACTGGGGAATCATCTCTTAGTCGAGGAGGTGAAAAAATGAACTGCTATCTGGTCGTGCTCCAGGCTTTACAGTGATTTGCTGAGGAAAATAAGAATGACCACTATCTGGTCGTGCTCCAGGTTTTATAGTGACTTACTGGGGAGATGAGATTAGACTTGCTATCTGGTCGTATTCCAGGCTTCGCAATTTCTCAATTCTTATCTGGTCGTGCTCCAGGCTTCAGAAGGAATCAAGTTGTTATCCGGTCGCATCCGGGCTTCAACTTGAATTTAAGGCATACTAATATCCGGTCGATTCTGGGCTTCTTAGTAATTGGCCAGGTAAACTACTATTTGGTTGGAATCCAAGCTTTGTAGTGTCTTATATTGTTATCTGGTCGATTCCAGGCTTTAGTATCCTTTGCCTCTATCTGGTCGTGATCCAGGCTTCACGGTGTCTCATACCATTATCTGGTCGATTCCAGGCTTCATGGTATCTTGTATTGCTATCTGGTCAATCTCCAGGCTTCACAATAACTTGCTGAGGGCTAAGCTATTTTCCGGTCGATTTCCAGGCTTCACGGCTTGTCTTTATGATATACCACTATCTGGTCGATTCCAGGCTTCATGGTGTCTTGGAGAAATCAAGATATTATCCGGTCAAATCCTGGCTTCATAGCTTGAATTTAAGATGTACCACTATCTGGTCGATTCCATGCTTCATGGTGTTTTGTACTGTTATCTGGTCGATTTCCAGGCTTCACAGTAACTTGCTGGAGATTCAACTATTTTCTGGTCAATTTCCGGGCTTCATAGCTTAACTTTAAGATATACCACTATCTGGTCGATTCCATGCTTCATGGTGTTTTTGGAGAAATCAAGATATTATTCGGTCAAATCCGGGCTTCATAACTTGAACTGGAATAGAAATCTTAGTATCAATTTGATTGAATCAGAGAAAACTTATGAGAATTTGATTGTATCTTTCCCTGAAAGGTAAAGAGTTAGTCGTATGTAATGTCATGATGTATGACATGTATTGAGTAATGATGTTCTCAAAATAAATGAGATTGTGTTGTATGATGCATATTCGTATGCCATGATGTATGGATATGCAATGTTTTTATGATATTCTCTAGCTGTGGAAAATAAATCATGGACTACTGCTGGAGAGTAAATTGGCGAGAGAATGACTCTATGGGGAAGAGAGATATTCTGCTAGAAGATCTGCTGATTTGGAGAAATAACCTCAGCTGGGGATGAATTACCGTTGCTGGTGATGATGAACTCTGCCAGGGATTGAATTTCTACCTGTGGAAGAAATAAACTTTGCTGATGGTGAACTTCTGTTGTTGGTGATAAATCAACTCTGCTTAGGGAGAATTTTGCCGACTTATTCATGATTATGAACCTCGGCTGGGGAGAGCTAACACCACTATCTTTCGGTACTTCTTACTTTGCGAGGAGTGTATGTACCTTTATCCATATTCTCAAGCTGGCTCTATCCCTGTACCTGGTGGGTAGAGCAACTGTAAGGTTTGGACATTTCTTGTTGGCCCCTATTCCTGGAACTATGAGTAATTGTCTTTTGTTTCGTATGTAAATATTTATGAGCAGCACTTATTGTCAAATGCATATATCAAAATGAATCATTGGACGTTCTTGCAAAACAAAACAGAAAAAGAAAACATAGGTTGAAATTTCTTTGTGAAAATGAATTGTATTGATTTTGAAGTTGGCCTGTAATAGGCGTTTTGTACAAGAGGCTGACGTCCTAGTAAGAGAACACCGCCGAGGGAATTATACATTTTGTAAAAAAGAAATGAAAATGGCTATGTGAAACAATCCAACTGGGTTCCAACTCTGCTATTGCCTTTATATCTTCGAGCGTCTCATCACTTTGCTACTTGGTTGAAGGTAGATCAGATTGATTGGTGTCGTCCGAGCTTGATAGTCGATATTGAAGTCTGGTTGTAAGGTGATCCAATGAGACATAATGTTACGCTTTGACCCCTAATTTTTTTCATGGACCGCCCTTTCGGGTTTTCAGTCCATCGGGATACCCTTTTTTGCCCAAGTCGCCTTTTCAGGTTTTCGACTTGCCGGGTGTACAGTTTTTTCATTTTCATCCCTCATTTTTTCCCGAACCCTTTTGGTTCGCCGGGAAGCCCTTATTTTTTCCTAGGCCAGTCAACCTAGCAGGTCTTTGATTATGCATAGTATTTTTTCACTATGTCTGCATTGACGGGGTGAGGAAGGTCGTCACCATCCATGGTGGTTAGAATCATAGCTCCTCCTGAGAAAATGTTCTTAACCACAAATGGCCCTTCGTACGTGGGGGTCCATTTTCCCCTGGGATCACCTTGCGGCAGTATGATGTGTTTGATCACTAGATCCCCAACTCGATATTCTTGTCGTCTGACTTTCTTGTTAAAAGCCCCGATCATTCGCTTTTGATACGCCTGACCATGAAAAATAGCAGTAAGCCTCTTTTCATCGATTAGATTCAGCTGATCAAGACGGGTCTGGATCCAACCGTCTTCGCTCAAACCTGCATCCTTCATGATCCGGAGAGAGGGTATCTGGATCTCAATGGGTAATATTGCTTCCATGCCATACACCAAAGAGTAGGATGTTTCCCCTGTCGATGTCCGCGCTGAGATACGGTACCCATGAAGAGAAAATGGTAACATCCCGTGCCAGTCTTTGTATGTCACCGTCATCTTCTGCACAATCTTCTTGATGTTCTTATTAGCCGCTTCAACAGCCCCATTCATCTTTGGCCGGTAGGGAGAAGAGTTATGATGTTGTATCTTAAACTATTTGCAGAGCTCGGTGATCATTGTATTATTGAGATTTGTACCATTATCCTTAATGATCCTCTCTGGCACACCGTATCAACATATCAAGTTGTGTCGGATAAACTGTGCCACAATGTTATTGGTTACTGTAGCGAAAGACTTTGCCTCAACCCACTTTTTAAAGTAATCAATAGCCACCAGAATGAAACAATGCCCGTTAGATGCAGTAGGTCTGATCTCGCCGATCATATCGATGCCCCACATTGCGAAAGGCCAAGGAGCCGTCAATACGTTCAGAGGAACCGGAGGTACATGCACCTTATCAGCATAGACTTGGCACTTATGACAGGTCGGAGAATGTTGATAACAATCGGCTTCCATAGTAGACCAATAATATCCAGCCCGTAGGATTTTCTTTGCCATGGCGTGTCCACTGGAATGAGTTCCGAAGGTACCTTCATGTAACTCTGCCATGATCCTTTCTGCCTCGTTCTTGTCCATACACCGCAGTAAGGTTGAATCATGGTTACGCTTGTAAAGGATACCATTACTGATGAAGAACTTCGCAGCGAATCTCCCACTACAAGAAAAAAAGAGATTTACGACACATAAATTGCGACAGTTCCCACAAAACCGTCCTTATTCCTGAATTGCGACAGTTGTCACGACGGTTAGGCTCAACCGTCGTAGATTTTCAAGCATTATTCCTGAATTGCGACAGTTGTCACGACGGTTAGGCTATTTTTTTTTATTCTTTTACTTTCCCACTTTTTTTCAGCAACACAATATCATAATATCAACACAATATCATAATATTTTCAGCAACTAATATTTATTATTAAATTATAAACAAAATACAACAAATAAAAATATAAAAAAACAAAATAGGAGTAACAAACAAAATTGAAAGAGGATTAGGTTTTGTGAAAGAGCTTTTTATCCGATTGAAGCAAAGAACCACCGCCGGAAGTACGATGTTGCGCCTAGAATGGTGAAGCTTCCATTCTTCGATTCGACTCAATCTTCTTCATCTTCTGCGCGATCTTTGTATCATCCGAATATCAAGGTATATAAATTATTGATTCAATCTTCTTCTACTTCTTTTCAATTTTCTTTCGATTTTACCGTGGTGATGTGTTTCGGTTGAAGTTGCAGAATCAGTTGCATTGATGAAGATGATGAACGAATGAAGTTATTGATTCAGTGAAGATGCATTGAGGACGATTGAAAAACGGAAGGTGATGATGCTGTTTTGAGATAACCAGAAGGTGAGTTTTTCTTTCTTTCTGTGAATCTCCTTCTGAGTTTTTTGTGTGATTTTCTGATTGAATGAATCGTGAGCCAAGTGAGAGAGTGAAAGTTTTGTATGATGTAAAGGACTTGTGATGATAATGGTTTTGTAATGCTTGTGAACAACTTGTAATGAACATGATAGACTACGGTGGCTCCATATTCAGAATTTCAACCGCCGGTCACTGCAATTTGAGTGTTCATTCAGTATATTAAATCCATCCTCTTTGTCGAGAAAGGGTCTTGATGTTCATACTGTCCATCTCCATAGGCTACTGATGCGCTTTCAACATTTAGAGTCTTTATCCTTATGTGGTTGTACGGAGCTCAATGATTCAGGATTAACCCGTCTGCTAAGCTATGGTTCGAATTTACAGAAACTTAATCTAGATTGTTGTTTGAAAGTTACTGATTACGGGCTATCCCTGGTTGCTTCTGGTTGTCCCTCATTGACGTCAATTAGTCTCTATCGGTGTATCAACATTTCTGATGACGGATTAGAGACTTTAGCCACTGCTTGTTTATCTTTGAAATGCATAAACCTCTCGTACTGCTCACAAATATCCGACAAAGGGTTGAAAGCTCTTACTCAGAGGTGTCGTCAGCTTCAGGCAGTTAACATATCACACTGTGAGAGTATAAGAGGTGTTGGCTTCAAAGGGTGTTCAAAATCTCTCACACATGTAGAGGCTTGGTCTTGTAAGCTCAACCCAGAAGGGGTGACGGGAATAATTAGTGGCGGTGGTATAGAGTATCTAGACGTATCTTGTTTAAGTTGGTATCCCTTAGGAGATACCTTGCTTGGAATAAGATTGTCCTCAAACCTCAAAGTCCTTAACTTTCAAATGTGCAGATCTGTTTCCGATACTTCTATTGTTGCAATAGCCATGGGATGTACACTACTTGAAGAATGGAACTTAGCATTATGTCATGAGGTGAGGATATCTGGATGGCAAGCAGTGGGGTTATATTGTCAGAATTTGAAGAGACTGCATGTTAATCGATGCCGTAATCTCAATGATAATGGCCTGCAGGCATTACGAGACGGTTGCAGAAGTCTCTCGGTTTTGTACTTGAATGGTTGTGTTCACGTGACTCCTTTTGCATTAGAGTTATTCAAGTCTCACAGAGCAAATGTTTGTATAAAGGATGAAGAGGTAATGTGCATCAATCCTTACTACTTGATTGTTAAGTTTTGTAATATTCTATCTTAAATACTCACAGATTAACACATGCAATGATTTGTCGGATTTTGGCTATTTTATTATTATGGCTTGTGGAATCACTGTTTTGCAGCAAATAGGTTTAGTTCCATATACATATTTCTGTTTTGAATTATCAGGTTGTTTCTTATGCTGAAATTGGTGTTATGCTCACCACTCCTAATTTTTTGTTGTTTTAGATATCAGCTTCATATATCATATAATCCGTGGTCAAGCAACAATCAAACTGTATGTGATCTACAACGTCTTAGAGGTGAGCATAAATTAACCCTTATCCAAATTTTACTTAGTAATTTGCTCTCCTTTCATACCAAATATTTGGACTAACCCTATTATAGATATAGAGCAATAAGATTGTGACCAACATGATATATTCCGAAATATGAAAGAATGGAAGATAACTGAGCTGGCTTTGTGTTGATTTCAATAGGCTTTGTGTTGATTTCAATAGGCTTTGTGTTGATTTCTAATCTTTTACGAAAGTTTGTAACATGAAGAACAAAACGAGTGGCTTATCTGTTCGCACTCTCAAGGTGGAAACTTCGCCAAGCATTGAAACTATAGATTTTTTAATTCATTAAATCAAAAGGGTTATCACTTATCACTAAAATCAGGGTTCCTTTCAAGATCAAATAACATTCAACAACATTTTCTAGGTTACCTGTGGAGGTTGTCAGAGTGCTCACACAGCTGCTATTGGTAGGTAACTTTCTGGTTTATGCTGAGCATTATGTTTTTTAGGAGGGAAGTGTACTTTTGGTGGATATTGTGCTTAGTTCTTAGCAATTAATGCTACCCATATCATGATTTGCTTATTTTGCAGCTGTTCTGTGTGCTGAGAGAGGAATTACGTCACATCTGCTTCTACGAGGAGAGCAGCCTGAAATCTTGACTGGCTATAACTTGATGTCTACAATATATGGAAATGTCACATATGTTCCGAGAACTATGTACGCCAACAGGGAAGAAATGCTAAAGAACTATGCTAGGTCAGTGGCCGGAAACAGTGGTGCTTTCCTATGGTTCAATGATATCATTCAAGCTTCTTCAACAGGCGAATTGTCTACTTCTCAAAATTTTACGAAAATGGACGCAAGTAGAAGTGAGAGAAACCATCTTCAAAAGATTTTAGTTGTCAACGAAGGGGCTGGTGATTCTGTTGCTCTACTAGGTAATGGGAAGTTGAAGTTTGAAAAACAACAATGCATATCTTTGGGATCATTTTCTCTTAACAATGCATAGCCGTTAACTTTATGGACTGTTGCGGAAAGAACTTAAATGAAAATGTTGTTTCTTTGTATAGGTATTATTCGGTTAGTGCAATACTTATCACAAAATCATTTACTTGGGAAACAAAGAGCCACAAAATTTGTCGTTGATGCTGGTACTGGCACAACAGCTATTGGTATAGGACTTGCAGCCATTTTCTTTGGGTGCGGATCAGTTTGTATACTGCTAATTTACTTAAAAAGTATTTTTGAATCATTTTCCCGAAACTGTTCATGTTGCGTTTTGAACCATAACAGAAAAGGCTACATTAAATCTCAGTAATCAGATTTGTTGTTTCCTTGCAGACTTCCGTGGGAGGTACACGCGGTTATGCTGGCAGATAAAATTGATGGGTACCGAAAGCAGGAAAAGCACTTGATTGTTGAATTCAGTAAGCATTTCAATGTTGAGTTTCTTGACCACGACGTAAACAAAGAAGATGCTGGGATTGTGCATTGGGTGGAACGTGACCGTCCAAGAAAGTAAGATGTTATAGACTTTTTATTTCTTTTTTATGGTATAAAGATGTCATAGACTTTGCAGCAATTAGATTGCTAGTGGTATATATAAAAAAGACACCTCCGACAAATAATTCAGATAGCGGTGATTCACATCTGTGATGTTCTGATGGTAACTATAAATAGGTGACTTAACTCTTCTGCAACTTCTTTATATAAACACGTCAAAGTAGTTGTAAGGCCAAATGTTTTGCTATAGTTCATCATAAATACTTGACTGGTCTTATAGGGTATTGTGATGATGGCACCTAACAAATGACAATTTTAATGTTTGTTGTTTTATTTACACTACTACACATGTGAGTGAAATATTTGTAGTAAGTGTTATTGAAATTCGAGTCTTTTCGTTTAATTTGTATCAGTTATAACATAGGAACTCTAATCGCTAGATTTGGCCTTTATCAAGGTTACAGATTCAATTTTGCGCTGCTTACATTTTCATCGGGGTTGTTTGCATTCTTCTTTATTTTGTAAGTGATTATTGCTCACATTTTTTTTAAATACATGCTTTCAATTATTATTGTTTATGTTAACCTGTATGACAGTGATTGAGTTTCATGGTTGATGTTAATATTACATGAAGGAGTATGAGTACATTGCATAACAACTAATTGCTTGCTTCTATTCCTCCAAGCTGGAGCTTCATCGATCAATTCACTGTATTAGTACAAGGTATTCATGTTCCTCCTGAATGTACATGTAACGTCATAGTAAATTCTATTTTACAGTTTGAAATATTCTGCCCCTTCATATTGAGCGTGTTCTTTTTTATTTAATCATTTTGTTTAAACATGGTTAATGATCTTAGGGACTAGACGCAATGGTTGGTGAACATGGAACTCAACTCTAGGGAGGTCAAAAGCAAAGAGTTGCAATTGGAAGAGCAATTTTGAAAGATCCAAAAATATTACTTCTTGATGAAGCTACAAGTGCCCTTGATGCTGAGTGTGCATGTATTGATACTAACTTGTGCATTTGTATGTTCTTTTTAAACCTTGGTGATTTCCTTGTGCAGAAACTAGGGGAAGGTGTGAAAGGGGTGTATATCTCGATAGACGTGGATTGTCTTGATCCTGCATTTGCTCCGGGAGTGTCTCATATTGAACCGGGAGGTCTTTCTTTCCGCGATGTTCTTAACATCCTACACAATCTTCAAGGTGATGTTGTTGCTGGAGACGTCGTTGAACTCAACCCACAACGCGATACTGTTGATGGAATGACTGCTATGGTAGCTGCTAAGTTGGTCAGAGAAATGGCTGCAAAGATTGCAAAATGATCAAGAGATTTCGGAGCTAACCTCTTTTTGTTATAGTTCCTGAAAATCGCAAAATCTCACTTGTTATAGGTAACTTGTAGCAAAGTTATAAGGTGGTATAAGCATATTACAATGTGCAATAATTCATAAATCTTTTCTCCCAATAATAAGTACTGGTATCTCACGGAAATCTCACGCTTCAATAGCAAAAGCAATGTCTCCTTGCATTATTTTACAAATGGTTTCCCAACTGAATTAATAATACTGAGTTAGTAAATATTTCAAAACAATTGGATTGCTCATTTCAAAACAATGTTGAAAAGTGATAGAAAATAAAATAAAAATACTATAAATAAAAAAATATTAAAGTAAATAATAATTTAAATATAATAGTAAAATAATATTATATTTAAAATTATTTTACTAAATAATAATTTAAATAAAAATATTATTTGAAATTTATAAATCAGATTACGACGGTTAAAGTCAAATTCACGACGGTATATAACCGTCGCAAACAACAACAACAAAAAATAAAGTCAAATTCACGACGGTATATAACCGTCGCAAACAACAACAAAAACAAAAAATAAAGTCAAATTCACGACGGTATATAACCGTCGCCATCTGTTGTGCGTGACAGTTTTTGCAACCGTCGCGAAATAGGCTGGGGACGCACGATTCTGCGACGGTACTTCTACCGTCGTAGATTGTAAATTGCGACGGTTTTAACCGTCGTAATCAGCCAAAATAACCGTCCCAATCTATCATTTTTCTTGTAGTAACTTCTTATCCTTAACAGACGCACCCTCGGGGTACTCTTGAGCCTCAAGATACCTTTTCACCTCGTGAAACCATGGTTTATCTGCTACCTCTTCAGTCTCAATGTCACAGCAATGTGAGGGTTCGTCTAACCTCTCAATGGTAATCTGGGGAGCTTCATTGTCCCACCTGACTTTGAACATAGAAGACATGGTAGCTAGCGCGTCCGCTAACTGATTCTCCTCTCATGGGAAATGTTCAAAGGTTATCTCCTCAAAGTGAGGAAGCAATGTCAGTACATATTCCTTGAAAGGAATAAGATTTGGGTGCTTCGTATCCCACTCGCCTTTGATCTGACTGATCACTAAAGATGAATCTCCGAATACACTCAAGAACTTAATCCTCAGGTCAATAGCAGCTCGAAGACCCAGGATACATGCTTCATACTCCGCCATATTGTTGGTGCAGTTAAAACATAATCGCGTAGTGAATGGAGTATGACACCCCTCAGGAGATATGATCACAGCGCCAATGCCATTACCCAACGCATTTGAAGCTCCATCAAAATACATAGACCATCGGGATCCTTCCTTAGGTCCTTCATCCGGTCCAGGCTTTTCACAGTTGGTCACCAACATGATGTTCTCATCCGGGAACTCGAAATTCATGGATTGGTAGTCATCCACAGCCTGATGCGCCAAATGATCTGCCAATACACTCCCCTTGATTGCTTTTTGGGTTGTGTATTGGATGTCGTACTCAATTAAGGTCATCTTCCATCTTGCTATTCTTTCGGACAAGGCAGGCTTCTCGAAGATATACTTGATTGGATCCATCTTCGATATCAATAGGGTAGTGTGAGCCAGCATATACTGTCTCAGCCGGCGAGCAGCCCATGCCAAAGCGCAACAAGTTTTCTCGAGCAACGAGTATCGGGTCTCGCAGTCGGTAAACTTTTTGCTAAGGTAGTGAATAGCGTGCTCTTTTCGGTCAAACTCGTCATGCTGCCCCAGCACGCACCCCATTGAATTATCCAGCACTGTCAAGTATAAGATCAAAGGTCTTCCTTCCACTGGAGGCATCATAATAGGTGGCTCTTGGAGGTATTCCTTGATCCTTTCGAATGCAGTATGACATTCATCATTCCATTTTACTACTTGATCTTTCTTCAGTAGCTTGAAGATTGGTTCACAAGTAGCAGTCAGATGTGAAATGAATCGGGCGATGTAGTTCAGACGTCCCAAAAAACCTATGACCTCCTTTTCCGTGCGGGGAGACGACATCTTCTGTATGGCTTTTACCTTGACAGGGTCCACCTGAATACCCTTATTACTGACGAGGAAACCCAGCAGTTTACCAGACCTTAACCCGAAGGTGCACTTGTTCAGGTTTAACCTCAGCTTGTACATCTTCAACCTGTCAAACAGTTTCTGGAGATGATCAAGATGTTCTTCCTCAGTCTGGGACCTTGCGATCATGTCATCAACATAAACCTCAATCTCATGGTGAATCATGTCGTGGAACAAAGCGACCATGGCACGCTGATAAGTTTCCCCAGCATTCTTCAACCCGAAAGGCATTACCTTGTAACAGAAGGTGCCCCATTGTGTAATGAAGGTTGTCTTCTCCATGTCCTCGGGAGCCATTTTGATCTGATTGTAACCAGAAAAACCATCCATAAAGGAGAAGATCTTATTTTGTGCGGTGTTGTCAACCAGAACATCGATGTGGGGAAGTGGGAAATCATCCTTGGGGCTTGCCCTATTCAGATCTCTATAGTACACACACATCCGCACCTTACCATCTTTCTTAGGCACCGGAACAAAGTTGGCAACCCACTGCGGGTAAGAAGTGATAGCTAGAAACCCGACGTAAAACTGTTTCATGACCTCAACCTTAATTTTCTCAGACATCTCAGGGTGCATACGGCGAACTTTCTGCTTTACCGGAGGGCAGTCTTCTTTGGTTGGCAGGCCGTGTACCACAATGTCAGTGTCTAAACCAGGCATATCTTCATAAGACCAAGCGAAGATCTCAACATAGTCACGTAGCATCTGTATCAACCGTTGCTTGACACTAGGCTCCAGATTCGCACCTATCTTGACCTCTTTCCTGTCTTCCTCTATACCCAAATTTACTGATTCCACTGGTTCTTCATGAGGCTGTATGGCCCTTTCTTCCTGTAGTAGAAGTCTAGAAAGTTCTCCAGGTACCTCACAATCATCCTCACCTTCGTCCTTGGCTTGGTTGATCGGATTTTCGAAGTCATAACTGGCAGTAGCAGAGTTGTTATCAATGGGATCCATAATGGATATGGATCTGCATTATGATATGTGAGTGTGTGTAAGAGAATAACTGTTTTTTTGATAAAGCGAGAGATAGGAAAAGAAAAACAAGGAGCGCAAAATTTGTAATGCAAGAAAACATCCAATGCTTTATTGATGATATATGAAAATGACAAATAATAAGCCCTCACAAACAAAGCCAAGGTGTCTCGGGCAAAGCACCGGGCCGTAAAGTTTCAAACTGTCTGTTACAAATCTCAAAACAAAAGTCTATTATTGTGTAATAAAAGAAACGGGTATGAAGTCTTTCACCATCCAGTTGTTTAATCCATCATTGGTTGTAGGGTAGATCCAGTTGTTGATATCTGAATCTTCTTCATCATCCCCAACTGCATTCACTCCCTGGTTACTGATGTGCAGAGGAGGTCTTCCAATCCGTGCGTGCCTAACATCCCTTTGAGCCCATGTAGTAAAGCCCAAACCAAATTTGTCAGTTTTGTGTGTGAAATCAGGGAGCTGACCCCAATTTGCACACCCACCTTTTTCAATTACAGCCCTGGCATCCTTGAGGGAAGCCATCTTCATCGGAGGTTTGTCAGCAGCAACTTCAGTCGACGCCAAAGTCTGGGGGACCTCTTCAAAGTTATGACAAGGGGTCTCGATGAATTCTCCATCCATCTCCATATAGAAAAAGGAATTGAGATGACTCACCATGTACTCCTCCTCTCCTTGTACCGTGATGATCTTCCCCTTTACTGGATATTTCAACATCTGATGGAGTGTAGAAGTCACTGCCCCAGCCTTATGAATCCAAGGGCGACCCAGCAAGTAAGAATATAATGGTCGAATATCCATCACGTAGAAAGTAGATGCAAAAGTCTGAGAGCCAACTTTAACAGGGATGTCCACTTCCCCGTGCACCATCCTTTTTGACCCGTCGAAAGCCCTGACCACAATATTTCTCAGCTTCAGAATCAAACCTTCACAGTCCAGACGGTCTAATGCTTTCTTTGGTAAAACATTCAATGAGGATCCAGTATCCACCAGTACATGGGCCATAGTAGTGCCCCTGCACTCGGTCGAGACGTGCAGAGCATCATTGTGATTTCTTCCTTTAGCAGTCAGATCTGCGTCTGAGAAACCCAACCCGTTGTCGGCAGTCAAACTAGCTACGCAGTCTTTGAATTGATCGGCAGAAGTTTCCTGCGGCACATGCGCAGTTTTGAGGAAAGCAATTAAAGCCTTTGCATGGGCTTCTGAACACAATAACAAGGACAACATGGAGATTTTTGACGGGGTCTGCCCCAGCTGCTCGACTACGTTGTAGTCGCTCTTCTTGATAATCTTCAGAATTTCCTCTATCTTCTGCTTAGAGGTTTATACAATAATCTTCTTAGGTGCCTCTGTCCGGGAAGGCTCACCTGTGATTTCTTTGCCCCGAGTCTCAGATGGCATGGCGACAGGGGTGATAACTGGAATAGGAACTGGGACATTAGCTGATGTACTGGCAGATGGAATGGCAACAGGTTTATGAATAATCGGAGGAGAAATCTCGGGAGAGAAGAGTCTTCCACTTCTGATGACCTTGCTAGCCCCGACAATATTTCTGACATCAGCATCAACTTCCTCACTCTTTAAGTCTTTTTTAACTCCATGGTAATACACATCAGCCCCATAGTGCCAAGGGACAGCCTTATCCGAAGTGTATGGGATAGGACCAGTGACAGTAATGATCAACGAAGCAATTCTTGGAACGCGTGTAATCCTAACAGGCTTTCTCGAGGAAGCCTTGGAAGGATTGGCGGAAATGGTTATGATGGCAACATCTTCAATTGGAACTAACAAAATCATAGTCTTCTCGAATAGGATCTCTTTGTTATCCATCAGGCGTTGAACACTTGATCTCAATAAGTGGCAACCAGCATGCAGAATTGAACACATGTGGCAACCTTCGCCATAACCCGTAAATAAACC